TTACCCTTGATCGCTATATCTCTTCATCCCGGCGTGTCCGGCCTTATCTCACCTACTGCCTCCTACCGCCAGGGCAACTACGTGATCCGCTTCACGGTGACGTCGACCCACACCCGTCTGGACGACCTGACGCGCGACTGGGCCGTCATCAAGGAGACTGCCTCGGAGGTGCTGGCGGAGAGCCACGCGCCCATCCAGCAGCAGCTCAAAAAGACCATGCTGGCCGGTAAGTCATCCAGCGGGTTGGCGAGGGCGAGGGGGTCGACCTGCTGGAAGGACGGTGTTTTGAAAAAAAAACTCTGCCTGTATTATACCTATGCATGAAGGTCAAACAAGCATGAAACCAAACTTTCAATGCCATCAGCTTCCGCCATTACATCCAAAGGTAACTGACACGACTTGCGCTTTATCCCCAATGGTTTATCCCCGTGACCCGTTGTCGTTTTCAGAGACGCGCCGTAACCCGGTGTTCGGCACCTCGCTGCTGCTGGCCAACAGCCCCATGTCGCCCAAAGTCGTGGACGGCAGCTACGTGGCCATATTCGACAACAAAGACATCATCACCGACTTTGCCAAGAAGCTGGCGCACTTCCGGGCCGATCTGGTCCGAAACAGTCCAGGTGAGCCCACCGGAGGATGATCTACTGTGATAGGGTAACACTCAACACCGATAGCTTTCCCAATCTCCGGTTCCCTTTCGTGTTTCAATGGAGTTAATAAGTGAAATGAATTTGGTAAATGATTCGATCAGCTGATGATCGATTTACATATGCAAGCCCACTATTGCTTTATATCGGGTCTAGTCATGATATTTGACCAAAAGGATACCGAAATATCGAAGCCTACAACCACTACAAAACAGGACTGAGCCTCATGCTCACCCAGTGATGGCCCTAAGGGAAAGCTAGCTCATTTCGCCAGCATATCACCGCACACTCTTATCTTGTCCAGAGATGGCGATAGCTGTCATTTACCTGAAGTTAGGCTGTACCGCCGAACACTGAAACTTCCCCCAGAGATGGCGCTAGTGGTATACGCCTGAAGTTAGGCTGTGCCGCTGGACACTTATATCTGTACCGTCTCTCCAGAGATGGCGCTAGTGGTACTCCGCCTGCGGGTAGGCTGCACCGCTGAACACTGCTCCTTGAATTGAGGTGGATAAGTGATACTCTGACGTAGCATGCTGCTTTTTAGGTATGGGACATGGTTTGACTTATCAGGCTGTGATAGCATGCTTTAAGCAGACAGTTTTATGGGCGATCTCTCCGTTCCGTCGCTTCCATCCTCAGGATACTGAAATTCTTCTCCTCCATGCCGCATCCCCCCCTCCGGGCTGGACAGGCAACTTTATCTCATGCGGGCTGCTCCCTTAGAGCGGCACCGCTGCTCCCGAGGGAGCGCACCCCGTAGCCGGGTGCAGAGAGTGCTTGGGGAGCTGGTCGGCCTGTCCAATCGGACGGGCTCAGCCCCGGCGACTCTCTAGGGTGCCTGCCCAGACCTATGTCTCCCCCTAATTCCTATCATCCTTCCGGTTCTGAAATGGTATTCTCAGACCGAAAGGGCCTAACCCAACAAAACAAAAACAAAAAGCAGTTTCATGGACGGTGGAAGAGCTCCCACCATTTCAGCCTTTTCTCAATGCCTAGCTCGGCGCTAGCTGGGATCCCATTCCCTGACCCACCAGTCAGACCACAGCGCCCCCAGCAGACTGACTTGTACTCTCACCCGCCGCCAGCGCTGCGTCGCCGTGTGCGCGGGATGCTGATGTCGGGGAAACAGTACTCGCTCGACTCCCGAATGGACATCGTCTCGACCATGGCCAACAGCGCTGAGGGAGAAGCCGAAGACCACGAGACCTCAGAGAACGGTGGGAAGGGTGGATGGGTGGGATGGGTGGATCGTGGATCTGGGCGTGGGATGAGAGTGGGAGAGAGATGACTTGGGAGAGGAAACCGAAACTACAGGGGGGGGGGGGGGGGAGGTGGAAGCGTTGGTGGCCGATGGGCATTTTGGTGGAATTGTAGACCATCAACCGTAGTGGTATTGACGTACGACGAGTAAATTGGCGACATAACAAATAGAAAGCTTGTATATGTATAATTGCCCGGAATTTTGAATAAAAACTTCACTGATTAAAGCCGTTCACAGCACTCCCGGATGCAGCATCAATAGAGTGAACATCAGCTTAAAACGTTTGAAATGACTTCTGAGAGGAACGGTTGCATTTAAACTATGAACAAAAGACAAACCATTCACAGCGATGCATATCACTGGCCTTTGACCTCCCCTCCTCTACACCACCCTCAGGCTGTCAGACGCCGAGCCGGTGGAAGCGCTCCGCCTCCATGGTTCCCACTGGGCCCGATGACGCCAACGTGGCCCACCTGATGATCGACGACGTCATCCAGGAGGACGACGACGAGAGCGACGGTACGTCATCAGCCGGCGGCGCGTAGCAGGGTAGCAAAAACTGTCCAGCTGGAGCTATTACAGGACAGAGGAGTGAAAGGAAGGTGGCCTCTCAATTTTCATATGATGTTTGAAAGGGTGAATAGCGACATTATGGCTAACAAGAGAATGAATTGAAAGCATTGCTTTTTCAACGTTTCTCAAGAGCTACCTGAGAGCCATAGATTTTTGAATCGCTAGTTATGCTTTATACTTTTCTTATGGATATTTACGCTGTTTTTATCCGTTATGTTGTTTGTTTTCAGACTCTGACGAGCGTTACCACCAGCGTATCCGTGAGACGGTGGCCCGAAACGCCTGCAGAAAGTGCGGCAACATCGTCTGGGTCAAATAGGCCGATCGACTCCCGCTACCATTTCCGACCAGACTCCACCACAGGCCAGCGAGAGGCTGAAGATGGGAGAGAAGACAGGGCGGAGATGGCTGGAATCCAGAGCTTCCTGGATCAGCGCGAGGCGCTTGATGTAGTAACATGAGTCCTGTTTTGTTCGGACTTGACCACCTCGCTAGGTTTCTACATCACTTGCTTATATATCAGTAGGTGGTACGCTGGTAGAATAAGGCTGATTTGCTCCTTATGCCTATGCTATGCGCTTATGATGTGAAACGCGTTACGAACTGACGTAGAGTCCTCATTTTTGGTCAATGTTGCGCTCTATTTAGCAGCACATTTGCCATTTTTGGCGTCCCTCGGTCACGTTTACCCCTTGCTTCTAGTACTCTCTGCCCTGATGACCAACTTCATCACCAGCATTACCCACAACATTGTCATTCTTTGCTTACGAGTGTAAGTGTGGCACTGTACATATTTGATGCAATTAATTAGCTATTTTGCGCTTTAATCAGCCACTTAACTTGGCACCAGTTTATTTAACCGTAGTCCTCCCATTGACGAGGCTCGGGGAGGGCCTGCTCCCTCGTTTTCTTCTGCATGGAAGGAACAATGCGTGTGAATATGCAATATGCAGTATATAGAATATGCAATTAGTATTAAAGTAAATAGTTCACTTTCACGAAATTATTTTTTTTGCAATGGATTTATGATTTTTTATGTTCAAAATGATCAGCAAAGAAAATAAAACCTATTTATAACAAAAGATTATTTTCTATATTTTGATAATAAGAAGAACTTTTCAGTTTCTGTAAGGCACAGGCGATCCAGTATGAAAAGAGCATGGGTCCCGAAAATTCTTCAGAAACTAGAGAAATGATCGCGGCCACCGGCATTTGGGCGATCTGCTGCTGCTGAATGTCCTTATTGATCAGTACGAGAATTTCTCTAGAGTTCTCGTAGATAATTTCTCTAGTTTCTGAAGAATTTTCGGTACCCATGCTCTTTTCATACTGGATGCGAATATATGCAAGGCACACATCCTCTACGCAAGACACCTTTTTCGGGACGAGAAATAGAATATCTTTGCCTAGGGTGATCGTTGGGCTGTAAAAGCTCCTGATTTATGCTCGTCTCAGCCCAGGCTACGGAACTGCTATTCCAGTTCAAAACCCATGTTAAAAAGTGAACTATTTCCTTTAAGACCTCGCGCGTGCATGGACACGCCTCCGTGTATATTCGTTTGAGGAAGGATAACCGCTTCATCGCGTTACGCGATATGCACACACAAATCTCATGGATACCCAGACACGTAGAAGGCGCTGATGCCATGAATGGTGTACAAATAACCGCTAAAATTGGTAGTGGCGTCACCAATCCCGTACATATTGCGGGCGTCATTGTGCTCTATGTAACCCTAGCCTTCTCGCTAAGCTCTGTAAATATTGCCACGATTCTCACGCAAGTTCCTCGCACACACCCGCTCCTAGTTCAGTGGCTCTCACCTTCAGCTTAACTTATGGGGACTTCGCTACGCTTCTGACCATGTTTAGCTGCTCTTGCTCTGTGCTTCCGGTGTCCACATACGGGCCCGGACCCCTGGTCGTGTCGACCCCGTGCGTGTCGCTTCTGCGCTCTCATCGATGTTGTCTTGTGGAGCTATCGATGGAAACATTTGCTTTCCAAGAGGTTTGGAAATCATAAGCGCTTTACATGTGCTTCGTGGAGAAAATAAACATCCGTACTCTGTAGGATTGCTTCAACCGCCGTCGTTGATCGTTGATTCGAAGTGCGGCGCAAATGCTAGAGGGCCGTAGATTCAGGGGGGGGGGGGATGAATATGCGTTTGACATGAACGGAGACCAGTGGTTGTGATAACACGACATACCTAATATTATGTCGTAACGGACTTTTATGCGGGCATTTAAAATCCTATTTAGAAATCTATCGGGCTATTGACGTAGAGATCCAGAACGCGATTTGTGCCTCGTCGTCTTGTCAGTCCCTCCCACGTGGAGACTAGACTGGTCTGGGGGTAAGGTCTTAGACCTCTAGATACAGCCATCCAGGTTCGATTCCTGGGCAATGCACGTGAAATTGCCGTACCTAGTCGATTGGAACAGCGTGAGAGTTGCGATTTACGGCCTATCGGCACAATGCTGATTTCAAATTACATTACTCCCTGATAAGATCTTTGTAACACAGGAAAACAAATCATTGTATTCGTACGAGCGAACAGACGACACGCACACAGACGGAAGCTAGCCATCAAGAACACCGCCACAGCTGCCGAGCTGGCCTGCTGAAAGTTCGCCTCTCGGCAGCGGAAAGAGCAGACACCACACTCGCTTCAAAGCTGCCACAGCGCTACACGGAGAGATTCAGCTGCACAGGAGAAACAAAACAGAACTGACTCCATCAACAATGCCCGAGCGCACAGAAGCTGCGCTTAGCTAACGCGGGGAAACATCTCCTTATCAAACGTACCAAACGCACGCACTTCCCGCAACCTTTCCATCCTGTGGGCACACCTGGCCATCATAGCATCTGAGGGACAGAGCTGACCGAACGGACAGGTTTCAGATCAGATCGCAACCATCACAATTCGTTTGTCAATGGGGTCGGATTCACTCCAATCACTGGATTCAAACCATCATCTTCTGTCTTCACAAGTAACATTGCTGCTAGTTTAGATGCATACGGTACCCCTCCCCCCTGTTCAGCACTCAGAATACAACCAAATCAGCACTGAGAACGAAGGTACGCTGACTGGGGTAGCGCTGTCAGCGGGGCCGCTGTCGGGCGGGGGAGCGGGCGGGTCGGACCGGGGGCCGCCGCAGTCCGGCGCCCGGCGGCAGCAGCAGGCCGGCGGGCACGCACAGGTCGGACAGCCAGTCTGCAGACACAGGCGGGCGCGACGGTCAGCCGGGGCTCTCAGTGACCGGCGGCGGACGACATTCAGCTGAGAACCAGCGCCAGCCAGACCTCCGAGCGGTCGTCCAGAAACCTCGGCCGGCCGGGAGGAGCACCTACACACCACCGAAACGGTATCAGATCGAGAGGAAAGCAGGGACGACGCTTCAGTAGCACGCCAGGGAAACGAGGGTTGCGGTTTGTTAGCAGCCACCAGCGTCGCGTTTTGGCAGCAGCGAGAAGCGAGGATCAGTCCGACTACCAGCGGGAAGGGCGGGCGTTAGAAAGCGTAGTCCACTGTGAGTCGGCAGTGTCGGAATCCTCCCACCAGCTCTGGAGCTCAACCCCAATCGGTTAGCCATTGCCGGGTTAGGCAGGCGCACACGCAGCCTTTCACCTTCAGCGGGCGCCGGCCGGCGTTAGACGTTCGGTTGCCATGGTTACCAGAAGCTGCCCGCCGACTTTCCGCCGGGCGGGGCGTGGACCTTAACCCCGGTTCGTTTGGGAGTCTTGTCGTCGATCTGGGCACCTGTAAGGGCAGACAGTGTTACAGCGCACGGAACAGGCCGGAGCACAGAGCCAGGAGACCCGAGAGCTCTGTACAAAGCAGTAGCACCGCGGCTCCGTTGCCATATTCCGAGTATTAAAAGTTCCCGTACATGAGCAGAGCATATTATAGCGTTAGTAGCATCACAGTGTTAGTAGGTTAGCATCGCAACAGTATCCCTTAGCCCAGTTTCATAAATATCGTAAGATGCCACCGACGTTAGTGCAGACTGTAGATGAAACAATGCACGATTCTCCCAGGTTTGCTGACCGCACAAAGCCAAGATAGAATAAGTCAAACCTTAGCACAGCCAGCCCCAAAGCACGAATTACTTGTCCACCCCGACAGCCAAAAGCTCTCTTTCCCTCTCCCTTCCTCTAACCCTGTCTGTTTCACCCACCTGAGACGGCGAATCCCGAGTTTTGCTGGTTGCGCACGCCCTCTGCCGGCTCGCTGCGGTTGTGGAACTCGTCCGAGGGCGGCGCCGGCGCCGGGCGCGGCGGCCGGCCCGCCATCGTCTCGCTGACGCGTTTGACGCCGTTCAGCTCACGCACCAGCACCGGCTCCTGGTCGGCCTCGTCGCCGCCGTCTCTATTGACGGGCGCCGGCAGGCCGGCCAGGTCGCGCTGCTGCACGCGCCGGTACAGGAACGGCGGGAAGGCGGCGCGGCTGAGCCGGCGGCCGGCGCCCTGCACCACCCGCAGCTGGCCCTCCTCCAAACACAGCCGGCCGCGGGAGAGCACCCAGGCCGGCGCGCCGCGGCACTGCAGGCCCTCGAACACGCTGAAGTCACAGCGCTGCTGGTGGGTCTTGGCCGAGAGCCGCTGCACCACGGTCGGGTCCCAGATGACAATGTCGGCGTCCGAACCGACCGCGATCACACCCTGACGGCGGGGAGAGGCAGATAATTAAGAGCGGCACCGATCTTCCTGGCGGTAGATCACGAGCGGGAGAGCGATTATTACACCGTATGGAAGCTGCCCAAATGAAACAAATGGGAAGTATAATACTTAATAGCAAAACTAAAACCTCTGTGAATGTAGGCTTCCAGCCATCCACAGCACGCTCAGTTACCTTCTGCGGGTAGATGTTGAACAGTTTGGCCGCGTTGGTGCTGGTGGCAGCCACGAACTGGCAGAGGTCCATCTTGCCGGAGGCGACCCCCTTCTCCCAAAGAACGGCCATGCGGTCCTCGACCCCGTTGACGCCCTGCGGGATCTTGGTGAAGTCGTCCTGGCCCGCCTCCTTCTGCTGCACCGTGAACGAGCAGTGGTTGCTGCTGGCGCACTGCAGGTCGTTACTGAAAACAGAAAAAGGAAGGGTAGAATGTAAGCAACACTTTATCCATGGTGAAGATAGTGTCATCATTGTTATCAGTATCCTTCTACCCCTCATCCCTGCCTCCCACAACGCACTCTAAGTTCCGTACTCACTTGGCCAGCATGCCGGCGAGGTGTTGGGGTGTGGCCGGGTCGGGCCGCAGCGGCGGACAGGTGACGTGGGCGGCCGCGTGCCGCCAGCACCGGTTCCACTGGTGCGTGCCGTCGGTGGCCAGCGCGGCGGCCGTGGCCTCGCCGCTGACCAACTGACCGCGCCGCCGGTGGGCGGCCACTACCTCTGCCGCCGAGCGCGACATGACCGGCGCGATGTGCAGCGGACAGCCCACCTGGTGGGCCAGCAGACAGGCGCGCTGGGTGGCCTCCGCCTCGACCTCCTCGGGCCGCGAGAGCTCGTGGCCCTCCGGTCCGGTGACGCCGACTGCCAGCAGACGCTGCGTCATCTGACGGAGAGAAGGGAGGACGGGGTTAGATCCCGGACGGCAGAGGGGTAAGACGAGACAAAATCGGCCAGACAAATGTCAGCACCTTCTCTGATGGGCACAGAAATGACGCTACGCAATTCATAGCATGTCAGACAACAACTTGACCCGCATCCCCATCCTCCCACATCGTTTTCCGCACCTCCTTGATGGCGTCTCCGTTCTCGGCGTGCACCTGCGCCACGGCACCCAGCTGCTTGCAGTGGTTGAAGGCCTTCAGCAGCTCTGCGTCGGACAGCTGGTACTGGTCCTTGAAGGCCATGAACATCTTGAACGAGTTGACGCCGTGCTCGCTGACCAGCTCGGCCATCTCCAGCTTCACCTGAGGACGGAGACGGTGGTGTAATGGTACTTCGCTTTCGGGTAACTTGAAGGTATACGCTCTCTTCGAGCATACATCCAGGCAATAAGATAAGACATATTTTCCGATCTGTAGACAAAACGAACTCTGATAGTCTACGATATCTGTAGACGAAGACAGGGGAGGCATGTGCGACTTGAAAGGTAAACACTGAATAATGTAACGTTTCATCACGCTGACTTTCGCTATGAACCACGAGAGTCAAGCGTATTCGCACCACCCCCATCTCTCCACTCTCCCAATTGCAGACGGCAGTACCTTTTCGGACCACCAAGTGACGCCGACATGCAGGCCGTAGTCGCAGCAGGCCTTCTGCTCGGCCCAGCCGGCCCACTTGTCGTGCGCGTCCACCAGCGACTCGCCTCGCTCGGGCATCACCACGTCGAGCACGGTGGTGGTGCCGCCGGCCAGCGCGGCGCGCGTGCCCGTGTAGAAGTCGTCACAGGACACGGTGCCGGCCACCGGCTGCTGGAAGTGCGTCTGCGTGTCCACACCGCCTGGGGACAGAAGGGGAGATGAATGAGTGAGGCACTCATGTGAGGACTGGGGAAGAGACGAGATGTGGCCAAAATAAACATGAGATGTGAGCTTCTATTATAATTATTGTGAAAACGCTTTGTTATCTTTTTTCTGCGCACACATTCAGCGCAATTAGTACTTTCCGTTGGCCATAGTGACCATAGCATACGGGCAAACTAAGTCCCGCCCAGTATGAATTTGAAGGCCGGAAATACTCAACTAACAAAAACGGCTAACGGTGTCCCTAACGAGGAACAGCGGAAATGATGACGTGCAAAGTGCAAATTGTGTCACATGTCGCACAGCCACCTGGCAAAACTCCACCTTTATCCAAGCTAAGGCTTTTGTTAAAATAACAGCAGCTTAGTAGGCCAGCTAAATAGCTTATTTAGGGTTTTTAGGTATAATGTAGAGGAAAGTTCAGAAAACTTTCACGGCTACCACAAGTTGTCTCATTTCTTAAAGTCGCACGTTCAATGACAAGGGTTAGTTGACATTCGCAAAGCATCTGTCGTTGACGTCGGAACTCATTATCCGTTATGGATGCTAAGGCGCCACAACAAAGCCCGAGTCAACGTCACGCCTCGCCGCCACAGCGGTAGAGCGCATATCTCCAGGGATCAGCTGTTGTCACTTATCACTGTAGCGGCACCTGGCGTCCGCCCCGGCCCCTCCTGTACCGACGGACAGAGCTGAGCACCTGCCGCCGTTCCACTCAGCAGTCGGCATCGCCTCCCCGCCCTCCGCTGCTCCACGAATCGCCGCAGCCCGACGGTTTGTGAAATGTGTACTCAGCATTTAGCTAACGCAGCTACTGTTCCTAGCCGGTGTACCAGCAACTGCCTCTACCAGCCGTACGCTTTGCAGCAGCCGCAGCCAGCCACACTAACTGCAGCCGTCAGTCGGCCGTGGCAGGCAGCAGCTGCTCTCCTGTCCGCAGCTGGACAGCATTTGTCGACAGAATGACGGAGCGGTGAGGGCATTTGGAGCGCCGCTGCTCCCGTTCACATTCCACCGTGACTTGACAATGCCATGTTCCAGCTTGTGAACACTTGATGGCATGAGGACGAACTGTACGTTGGAAGCTCAGAAATAGCCGACTCTCCACGTCAGCGAGGATTAATTATAAATGTAAAAAACCCAAGCTGAACCAAACAGCCCTACAGGATACAAAGCTCGTGCCTATACTCTGGACGACTAAGAAATCTCACGATCCTGTCATCAACACCTAGTGAAAGTCCTACCAGCCGATACGGATTGTTTATCGGTTCCTCCGGAAACTGACGACGCAATCCCCTCGGCACGCTACAGACGGGCGCGGCAAACAAATAATTCACGGCCTCGGGGCCGGGCGGCGCCGAACTCAATAACAGACGTTTGTTGATTCTGACGTGACTAAGGCGGGCTCAGGTTCGAGACAAGTCCAACTTTGGAGACATGCGATGCGGGCAAAGATAACGGAAAATGCAAAAAAAGGAAAGCAAAGCAAATAAAATAAGATGCCTTAGCATTAAGCATTTCACGGAAGTCTCGAAGCTGATGTGTAAGAGGTACTTTATACATTGTCACGAACCGTCGGGTGGTTCAAACGTTAGGGACTGCGTCGGTCCAATGCAGTGCCGAGGGAAGTCGGAGTCGTGTCTCTGCATTAATTGTTCCCCCAGTTGTGACCCTCCCTTTGACCGAACCACACCCTCCCCCAGTCACAAATAGAGGGGCGTCAACGCCCACACCCCTCGGGCCCAGCACGCTCCCTAAACGACTGCGTCGGGGGTCCCAACTAAGCCACGCCGCAGCTGGACAAGCCCTTTGTGTGGCGACAGGCACAAAAAGACCGTGAAATACGACGCCATAGAGCGAGGTGGTTCACTGCACGGTTAGCGAATAAATCATCGGAGTTATTGATCGGTCAGGGTTAATATTTTCAAATATGATTCAGACTACCTCCCTCGAGTAAATTACAATTTCAATATCGGAACATTTCCAGGAGATGATGAAGCGGATCTCAAAGTTTCATATTAATTCCATATATCAAAATGACTGTGAAGGCTGAACGATTTCGACCGCGATCCAATCCAGACAGCAGGCTGATGGCTCAGATAACTACGATTCTCACCTGGAATGACATATTTGCCCTTGGCTTCGATGATGCGAGCTCCGCCGGGTGTGATGAGGTTCAGTCCCACCTGCCTGGGAACAAAGCGAAATGGTATTACCGAACAGAAAACCAAGACGGTGCCACTCAGAAAGGAAGTCGGTGCCGGTAAGAACGGAAGACAGTGCACTAAATCAGGTATAAACGGCTCAAAACGAAACTCGATCGAGCTGTTTTAGAGGAAGTTGGAAGCAGCGAGCACAACTCGTAATCCAGATGATGAGAGATCTGTTTGGTTTGTAGGTTTGGTTTGTGTAAGTGAATCAGCTGTGATTTATTACCACCAACTCTTATCAAATCATAGCTTACGGATTGTTTATGGCTCCTCCATTCACCATAAACTGTGAAAAAGGTACTCAACTGGTCCAAAAGGGCGTCAACAGCGGACGATGAATATTTTGCTCAGCCTTCAGGTTGACAATACCTACATGCAGTAAAAGCAGGCAAATGCCCGAGCTGTGGTGAATAATAAAGTGCAAACTTCATATTTAAAGAAAACGGCTCTAAAGCGCCCGAACGAGCCAAAAGCAGTGTAAGAGTAAGTCTGAGTAACAGCACACTCACTTGATAATGCCCTCCTCAATGTAGACATCAGCGTGAATGACCTGGTCCTCATTCACCACCTGTCCTCCCTTGATGAGTAGTCGGTTCTGGGCGCTCTGAAACACAGACACATTCGCTCGTTACTGAGACGTGACAGTGCACTCTGGGTACGGTGTTACTGGAACCGCGGGTGTGACAGCACATCTCGCCACATTTGCGGGACGCTGAGCTCGTAAATAGAGACAGCGGAGACGGATAGAGACATCCTGTGAGCCCCTGTCCTGGCCGGCTTTACTGTGAGCTCCTGTCCCGGCGGGGATTTCGGCTGCTGGTGGATGGGCGCAATAAGACCGTGGGCTGAAAATATGAGTGCGGTAAAGGCGGCGCGGAAAGTTGTAAATGTGTAACAAAGCCCTGCGAGCCGATGCTAGCGGAATTCCTGGCTAAATTGCTCCAGCAGGAAGCTTTTGTCGACATTATTACAGTGCCTTCGGCACAAAAGAAGTATCAAGAATTAAGATCAGTATCGAAACGATATGAGCAACATTGGGCACAGAGAGACGTAACATCCTACATTTCTATCGCTCTCCAGACCTGACTAACAGCTCGCGCATTAGCGAGTGGAAGCAGTTTTCCATCCATCTTAATGCATCCAGCAGCCTCCCCCGGAACGGAAGCCAGGCGTCATGTCGCGTGCCGCGGGCATTCCATCTCTCCCCTCTGCTCGATCCCTCCCATCTCTCCCTCCACGCAGAGCTCACACTCTGCACGCGACGCGCCCCAGCCGCCGCCACCGCCAGAAACCGCTTCCCCATCGCCAGAAGTGGCGATCTGCATCTTCCATTCCGCCTCCCCGACACCCCAGTCCTCCCCTCGTACACCAGTCACAGGACCCTCTCTGTACGCCGCCCGCCTGTCCGTCCGTCCGACCCTCGTCTGCAGTCTGTACCGGGACGACACGCGCCTCCCTGTCTGTCTGTCTGTCTGCGCCCCGGGACACAAATAGGCCCCGCTCCACGCCAGTGCGGGATCCCCGGTGGGCGGCAGCAAAAAGCCCGGCGATGACGAGCCGGTGGAGCGGTTTGTCCCGGCCGCTGACGGCACAGCGCCGAAATAAAGCCGCCAAAAGACGGCCGGTGTTAGGAGAGATACTGGTTGGTACGGGGAGTTTAGGCTAGAACTCCTCCACAAAAAGGGAGAGTGGATTTAACAGGAAAACTTTGAAGACGAGGGGCTTCCTCTAGCAATTAGTAGACATAAAATGCCGTCATAAAAACGCTCGCTTCGCATTATCAGCACCAGCCAGGCTAACGACCTACGAAAAAAAGGCAGATAGCCATCTTCATCGGGCGCCATGCGTTCGGCGGTGATGGCCCGCTTCCGTTGTTTATTACATCTCGACCCGTATAAGCGTGGCCAAAGTTTGCACGCTAGTAAATGTCTTTATCGCGTGACGTGGCTGTCCCTGGCGTGACTCCCCAAACTAGCACAAAAGATGCGCTCACGAACCCCGATGACTGACACGCACACATCTTACGGCGCACGCACATAAACATCCGCCGACCCTAACCAGGAACAGCCCCTCGGTGTCAGGTGCCATCGTCTCTATCACGCAGAGATAGACGACGTCACAGACGCCGCCATCCGTCAAATACGCGGCATACCCCGGAAATATCTGGGCTCCTCAATGTTTTCCCACCGCGCTCTCTACCCCTGCCGTGCAGGTCGTTAGCAAATGCCAGGTGGTTCCGTTAGGTCGGGTCAGGTCAGACCAAGCTAGGATGTCAGGGGGTTACATAAAATCGGTCAAAAAAGAGTATCGTTTGATTAAGCCCGGTATGATCGGATTCTCAATTATGGTTGGTACACAGACTTCGATCGATACGTCGGGTTGAGTTGTATTGCTCCCCTTATTGCCGGGACATTGACGTAGCAGGGAGGGTCTGTCGACATAGGATCGACGACGTTCTATATTCTCTGGGATCGATCTCCACAGCTGCGACTACTGACAGGTCAATGGGCCCGCCGACCGATCCATCCCAGTAACACAAAAGTCGACCGCGCCGCCCGCCCCATGACCACAGACTGGCACTGTTCGGGTATTGATCGGACTGGGGTTCACACCTGAGTCTCAGAGGTCACGGAACGGTCGCAGAGGTGTAAGTAGGTGCTAGCCAGATGTTGTCCCGGTCAAACAAAGGCCTTGATGGCTCGGCAACGAGCCTAGTCCGAGCGGCTCCGAGATTGCTGAGTGTTTGGAGTAGAACCTTACTTCATGGACCATTTATTGGTTGTCTACGATGCTCCACAATGGATTTATATCCAATTTACCGTCATCGTCTTCAGATTAATGGAGGGGTAATTTTGATTAATGACTCCACTCCCAGCGCCACGAAAAGTTCCAATAAAGTCCTATTAAATCCCGGTATAGCAACAACGAACATGGGAGCCGGGACGTAAGATCTCATGTAGCCACTAGCCAAAGCCCCCAAGTCGTCACCAAGGGAAAGTGGCCAAACGCATGCGAGCAGTATACCCATTACCCACGCACCCATGCAGGCGGCAGGGACCGAGCCACAAAGGTCGCAGGAACAAACACCTAGCCGGAATATTGGGAAACCGCCGCCGGAGTCAACACACGCCACTCAAACGTCCCGGTCCTGGGGTCAGGTGGCGGTCCGTGTGTTCATGTGTTGTGTTATATGAGGGAGGGGCGGTGACCTTCACCAGCGGCCTGCGACACGGGCAGCACACGGGTCCGGGTCGTTGAACTCCATTGACCGGCGGTCATTATGTTGAAAACAGGGCTGCCATAAATCAGAACAATGGCGACTAAATGCCAAGGAAGTTCAGCGACGTATGACATGAATGCTAATAATAAAGGTGGAAGACAACGACCTGCCGCACAGGCCGTGTGCCTCTTTCAGGACCGAGACAGATCCACCGTCCACGGTTGTCACAACCCACAGGCATCGGCTAGGAAAGCTCGAATACATTTTACAGTGATTCCGATCGGTGAACGAAAAAAAGCAGATTCATCTAATTTTTGTAATCTGAGTACAGTGGGTCTATTTAAGATCTCCAGAGCCACCACGTGGCGCTACGGTCGGAGTAGGGCGAGTCCAAATCCCGAGGGAAGTGAGGTCACCGGTCATTGTGGGGGAAGGAGGGAGGGGGAGTGACGCGGTATTACGGCGCATGGGGCGTGCGTAGCGCCGGGAGTGGGCCGCCCAGGGCCGCCCGCCACTGCGCCGAGGCTGAGGGGAGGGGATGATGGTAGCGGGTGCGTTCACTACGGTATGGTGGTGTCCTGTTCATGTAGAACCAGCAAGAATGCGACTGAAGGGAATAATTATCTCAAACAAACGGGCAAGCCAGAGGCAGCGTCAGTTCCAGCCAAAATGTTGAACAATGATAGGTAATTGAAATCTAGGACGCATTCATAGCATGCAACTATTCAGTCGATAGTTGCATGATGCTTTTCATGATGCATGATGAGGCTATTCTAAACTGTTATTTGAGATAGATATTTTTCATTTGGCACGTTCAGTTTTGGTGGGTTTTATCGGGCCGAAAAGAATCAGAAAAGAAAAGAAAATTGAAATGGCTACTTTTCCTCATCTTCTCTTAGCGACTTGATTTGACCTTAAAGGCCCATCTTACCAGTAAAAAAATCACCTGCGTGATAATTATTTGCCAAAGGGCGCTCTACGCAAGAAACGCCAGCCGGTCAAAAAACTGGCGAACGATACGATCTTTCTATTGCTTAAATTATATTCAATGAAAATTTCAGGAGACATAAATAATATTAATGCTACTGGGCGCCCGGAGCATTCGCTAGCATTGCATTGCCAGCTGCATTACCAACATCACATTTGCATTACTTTGGGTTCATCATAGTTGACAGTAGATGAACCGGCCACAGCAAACCCATGCCTCATTATCCTTTCCTTCCAAGCAGCCAACTGCCAAGCTAACCGGCCACCCGGCCCACCACCGCGATATGGAACAACGCTGGACTGCGCCATTTGCCTGCGGCAGTGCCCCACCGCGCCGGGGCTGTTTGACAGGTCACCCGTACCGTGCCCTCGCCGCCCATCCCTCCCCGCCCCGCCCCCTCCCCACCTCCCCACCGGGCTCACTGCTCAGCTCGGTAGTGACCTCTCCTTGAATCTCACATGGACTCGACTAAGGCTCAACGCCATCTAGTTTCGTCTGGAGATCCTTACTAGATCCACTGTACATCTACTGCAGTCATTCCTTTAGCCCGTTCACATCAATCATCACCCCAATGTCTCCACCCTTCCCCCAAGAAATGACGTCACCACTGCATTGTCCCGTCTCCTCCAGACATGACTCATACTCCCAACCGCCCCTCAGCCCTCCCCTGTGGCAGACAGGGGAGGTCTGAGCTCCACCCCGCCCCGGTCTCCGCCCTACTGCAGCGGATGCAGTGGCCGTCCTAACTTGGTGTCGCTAACCCCGTCGCAGCGGATGCAGCCCAGCCGCCGGTCTTAACTCCGTGTCGCTAATGTCGGTCCCACTGCATGGCGGATGCAGCCTTCGCCCTAACTCTGTGTCGCTAGCCGTCGCAGCGGATGCAGCCCAGCCGCCGCTCTAACTCCGTGTCGCTAACGTCGGCTCCGACGGCGCTAACGTCGGCTCCGACGGGGCGTGTCCGGCGCCGAGCCGTCGGCCCCAACACCCGGGCGTGGTCGGTCGGTCGGGACTGCGGCTGCGGCAGCTCTCTAGGAATGGTGTCTGACCGAGCAGCTGTGCCACAGGCTGTGCTACAACAGACCGGCTGGGTTACCGCCGTATGTACGGGGTAGGGTCAATACGGCCACAGGGACTATCACCATATGGCGGTAACAAAACAACGGCTGGTTGCACCGTATGTTACCAGGCAATGACGCGCATTTACTCATGCCTTTGAAGTTTGACACAACTTTACTCATCGTTGCCGTTTAACAGCATCTTAAAAAGTTGAATTTCCTTCTCTTGAGTCTCAACCCCACAAAACTATTTTGGAAAGAGCCATAAACAATAAACGTCCCAATCGGACAATAACTGCCCATGACAGGATGACAGGCCCGCGTGCCACATATATCGCTCC